CGGGGCTGGCCTGTGGGTTCAGGGGCACTGGGCAAGGTACCATGAAGCATGAGGATTCCCACCACTCCCCTTTTTTACCTTGTGTTATTTTTGCAAGGTTCCACACCAGGAGCGCCACCCAGCAGGGAAAGAAACTGAACTAAGAGCCAAATCTAGAAGGATTTACCCAAACTGGGAACTAGGAGAAGGGAGAGTGGCCATGTGCCGAGTCAGTCAAGTGGGGGCCTGAGAACAGAGGAGCATGGTCGCCTGGGCCTCCTCCTCCTCCACTCACCCCTGCGGGCTCTGCCCCAGGGTCCTGGGAGGTAGGTTGCCCTAGTCACATTGCTGGAAGTAGAAGTCCATGATGGGGTGGTCCCAGCTGGCATCCCCCGGGAGCTGGCTGAGCCTGAGAGGCTGGTCTGCTTCAGGCACCGTGCAGAGGAACCAGCCCGGGAAGGCAGCCGACTCGAACCTGGAGGTGAGTCCCGTGTCCCTCCTGAAGAAGGTGAAACCCCTGGAATCCTTGGGGCTGCGGTAGAGCTCCATAATGTCCACTGGCTGCAGGCAGAGGGCACGGCAGGCGAGGGGTGTGAGTGGAGCGGCCAGGAGGGCTGGGACGAGGGCTTGGGACACAGGGCAATAACAGAACCCCATGGGAGAGGCACTCAGGAGCCCGGCCCCAGGGGTCCAGCATTGGCTGCTCAGTGGAGCCCACAGGACTCACCTCTAGTTTCAGAGTCGGTTCCTGCCCCGTCCCACACGACAGGCACTGGCTCCCTCCCTGGACGCCCAGGATGACTGGAGAAAGGCTGTCGTCCAGAAACCGATTGGGGACAACACTGATCTCCTCGCCTAGAGGAAGGAAGCCAGATGCAGAGGCCTTGCCTACCTTCCCTCCCACTTCCCCTCCCCCGTCGTGGACTTTGGGGAGCAGGTCTCTGTGAGGTGTGCTGCCCCCAGGCTCAGAAGCTGTCCTGTGGGGAAAGGTGCTCGCCTGCCAGCTGGCCCGAAGACATCAAGGCACACAGCACATTGTACCACCTCCCACCCCCGCGCCCACCCTCTTGCCCACGATCAAATCCTCAAGCTTCCACCAGCCCTCACAGGACATCTGACCTCCCCCTTTAATG